TCTCTCAGAACATCGTTAATAAAGGCTTGGAAGACAGACGGGGCTATAGAGAGGCCGAAAGGCATCACCAAGTACTCATAGTGCCCCCTAGTGGTCACAAAGGCAGTTTTCCACTCATCACCCTCCTTAATTCTGATCAGGTTGTAGGCACTCCGCAGATCTAATTTCGTGAAGTACTTGGCTCCCTTTAACTGTTCTAACGCAACAGGAATAAGGGGAAGAGGATAGGGATAGGTCTTAGTGATAAGATTGAGACCTCTATAATCTATACATGGGCGCAACCCTCCATCTTTTTTCTTTACAAAAAAGAAACCTGATGCTGCAGGCGAAGTGGAGGGTCGAATAAAACCTTGTTCTAGGGCTTCTTGGATATATGTGTCCATGGCTCGTTCTTCTTCTTGTGTCAAGGGGTAAACTCGGGATTTGGGCAGGACGGGATCCTTAACTAGGTCAATGGCACAATCGTAGGGGCGATGAGGAGGTAATTTGGTGGCGTTATTCTTATTAAACACCTCCTTTAAATCAGAATATTCAGGGGGAATGTTAACAGATGTGTCAGCATTGGAGCTTTCTACCGAAGTAGATCTAACCGCTAGCAGAGGGGTTGTAATACAGTCTTGGAAACATTGTTCAGACCATTTTAAAATCGTATGTTCAGGCCAAGAAATTGTGGGGTCATGTTTCTCTAACCATGGCAAGCCTAAAATGATCTCAAATTCAGAATGATTCAGAACCAAAAAGGAGATGAGTTCACTGTGAAGAGCACTGGTCTCCAGAAGCACAGGTTCAGTCCTTGTGGTGATAGTTCCAGCTCCTACAGGACCGCCATCCAGGGCTGCTATCTTCAATGGGGTGTGTAGGGTCTTCACAGGAATTTGTAGTTGTTCGACCAGATGAGAATGGATGAAGTTACCCTCAGCGCCGGAATCTAGTAGAGCTGAAACAACAAGAGAAACCTGGTGACAGCCAACAATAACAGGTAGCAGAAATGATTTTGAAACCAACCCCTTTGTGGGAACACTCACCACATTAGCACGTGGAGTACTCTCCACGTGCTTTCCCGGGGTCGGCGCCAAAGTTTTATGTGGACGGAGTCGGCAGTCACGGAGGAGATGACCAGCACCGCCACAGTACAGACATAGGCCCGTTGTCAGCCGACGAAGCCTCTCCTCCTTAGACAGACGCGAAGAGTCACACTGTCTGGGTTCATCGACTTCTCTCCTCTCATTGGGTTCACGAGCTGTCCATGTTCTCGCAGTCATTCGGTTGCCTTGTTTAATTTTACGCTTGCCACGTTCATTTATTAGCTGATCCAGATGTATACACAGAGTAATAAGTTGATTTAATGTCAAATTATCGTCTCTACACGCCAGTTCGGTCAGGAGCTCAGGGTTCAGTCCTTGACGAAACATAATCAAAAGAGCGGCTTCGTTCCACCCACTGCCAGCTGCCAGGGTGCGAAACTCTAAAGCATAGTCGGCTACAGAGCGATTCCCCTGACGCAGCTTGCACAACAGTTCTCCACTTACTTTGCCATCATGTGGGTGATCGAAAACCAGCTGAAACTCCTTCAAAAACTGAGCATAGGAGACAGAGTGGATTCTTTGCCAGCTCGCAGTTGCCCATTCCAGTGCTCTATCAGCCAAACGTGAGACTACGAACGAAAGCTTAGCCTGATCCGAGCTAACGGGAGAGTTATCGAAAAAAATAGAGCACTGTAACAAAAATCCTCGGCACTTATCTGGGTCTCCATCAAATTTCTCGGGTTTACTTACTGGAAACCGTGGTGCGGGGGTCTCGGCTTGGGCTTGAGAGCTGGCTGAGCTCGTCTCCGGTTCAGCGGGGCTTAGGGTCTGAAGCTGGTCGGCGAGACCTTTAACGCTAGCCACTAGCTGCGCTAACTGGGCTTGTTGCTCAGATTGTTGTTGGGCTAGCGACTCGAGTGAATGCGTTACCCCGGTTAACACTTGCTGGGGACGACCAAGCAAATGGCCCTGCTCGGCAAGAGCTTTCTGAAAAGCCTCCGGATCCGCCGTCTGCATGGGTGGCGAGGTATTCTGTAACGAGGCAGAATAACTCAGACGCTCGCGGTTAAAAAACGAGAATGAGGCTTTAATGTTAGAGTCGTAATCCAAACTCATGGTCAAAAGACAGGCAAAGGTCAAATCCAGTAAAGACAACCAACACCAAAAGACAAACATAGGGCAAACAAAGTCCAAAGGGCAAAGGCAAAAGAGCAAAAGTCAAAAACAGCAAACAGAGTCAAAAAAACGGAAAAATCACAAAAGAGAGAAGAATACAACACTCAGTAGCTCTTGGAAAAAGAAGCAATACCTCGCAACAAACTAGACTGAAAGCCCGGGCTTTATACTAAACTAATTATGTTAGAACAGGTGTAACCAGTTAATACTCAGGAGACTGAGAGCGGTGATTGGAGCAAGATGGAGGACTGAGAACCATGTGATCCCCCTGGGGATTCTGGGAATTGGAGTCCCTAGAGGCCTCTGAGGCTGAGGGACGTGTGACAGTTGGTACAAGAGTTCAGGAAGGAGTCACCACAGCAACCACTCCAAGGGTGAATATTACATCGATGAAGCTTACTACTTTAGCAACAACTAAGAATGTTAATACATCAATTCAAGTTATTGCTGTAGCTATGACTTTGAAGGGGATGAATGTTACTACAGGAAGGCACCTATTTCTACTTTTGTTACTTCTGGAAATATTACAAGTGAGGTTGGGCTAAGGGCAACCTTTGCTAATAAAACAGTGATGATATCTCTATCACCTACGAAATTTGTAAATGTAACACAGACACCTGGCATGACATTTTTGAACTTTAAAGAAGTAGTAAATATGATCCAGAAATCTATGTTAAAAATAGAGCTTAGTGTGAATAGTAGTAATGAGGTTTTTGAACCTAGAGAACTAGAGAGTGGAAGAGCATGATGTAGATTCATCTGTGACAGCTCAGAAGATTATTTTAGACGTGGAAGATGAGTTTTTAAACTTTGACCGGACACCAGAGGACATGACTAACCATTATCGTGTATTACAGAAGAGAGAAATTAAGTGGAAGGCATATGGATTTGATTCTTCGGTGTTAAAAATTGCAGACCCATGGGCAGGTAGGAACTTATGGTTCCAGCAGCTAACTCATTCTGTAAGATCAGTTAAGAAGCTGAATTGTCCATGTGTAGTGAAAGTTCCAACACCAGGTACATGGCCTTCAATTTTAGAGACGGTACCAGAACCATTAAGTGCTAAATGTCTGTCTTATGCATTATCGTGGCTGTTATATCAGCAGCAATCAGCAGAAGATAAGGTGATGGCTTTGTCAGTGCCTTTGTTCAGACCTAAACATAATTGTTCTTGGTTGGGAGAGTTGCCATATGTGAATTTACTTGATCAGCATGAAAATATGATAACAGCGATCCCTGATCTGTTGGAAGTGAAATTTGTGGGGGCTAAAGACTGTTTTTGTTCAGATGATACTCATAATGGGCCTGGAAAGTTTATGGGAATATCAGACTGTAATAATTATATTATGGACTTGGGTGAGCGTAAATATGAGGCTATAGATGACCTGCATAAAGTAACTTTTCAGGTACCACATCGTAAATTGAGTAGAATTTTGATGGTACGCAACCAAAAGTTGCCTGGAAATGTGACTATAGGGAATTTTAAGGATATTTGGTGGATTTGTGGTGATAAGGCATATATATTTCTACCATATGGGTGGATAGGATGTTGTTACATGGCAACGTTGAAGCTTCCATATGAGGTTTTTACTGTCCAGAAGGGAAAAGTTTCTGATGAGGTTCAATCTGATGCTATTTCTGGAAGTAGGAAGAAAAGGGAACTGGCACAATTTCATAATCTGGAGTCATATCATTGGAGGATAAGTCTAGGAGAGAAGTGGGGTATAGGATTATTTCCATGGTATGGGGTGACATTTTTGGCAGATCACATTGATAATATTACCTACACCCTACAGGGTTTTGCAAATGAGACTATAAGAGGTTTTGAGTACTTGTCAAATACTCAAAAGAGTCATAGACTGACGTTGCTGAAACATGACATGGCTCTTGATTATCTTTTGGCCAAACAAGGTGGCCTATGTGTGGCTCTGAACTTAACTGGTGATGCCTGTTATACTTTGATTCCTGATAGTTCTGACAATATGACTAGTGTCATAGATGCATTGAAGCATATAAGGGATGTGTTTGGTCCATCGGAAGGAGCTGGATGGTCTGCGAATGCTTGGTTACAGGAGAAATTAGGACCATTGGGAGCAGTGTTGGTTCAGATTATGATAGCAGTTCTTATATCATTGAGTGTAATGTTCTGTTTCTGTACATTGTTGTTAACTTTTGCGAAGGCTATGATATTGTGATGGGTTGGTGTTGTGATGCCTGGAGATCAAGTTCAGATGCCATTACTACACAGGACTGACACAGACGATGACGAAGTGGTGATAGAAGGCGAACTGATGGAGAAATATCCATTTTGAATATCTATTCTTATTATAGTCTTGACATTTATTTCTGTTACTATTTGGGTATTTAGTAGCCTCTTACTATAGAGTGGGATGATAGCAGGGGTAAATGAAAAGGTGATTTATAACTTGGAATAATGTGAAAGTATGATATTGTGAATTTCACATTTACTCATAAGATGTTAATCTGTATTTGATGTTTCAATTTGCATCTGTTGTTTTTGCAAAAGATACTGGTTGGTGGTTTTCTTTTCTTTCCTTCAAGAACGATGTTGGGGGAAGACCACTGTAAGGGTGGTTGGATCTTCGGGAACTCCGATGTGCATGGACAATAAGAATGGACTCAAGGACTTTGAATAAGGACACTGTGATACAATGCCCAGAGTCAACACATCATCGACACTACATTGAGAGTCGACACTGCTGAGGAGCTGCAGTGTGATACATTTTTATGTTTTCATATATATTTGCATAGTATTGGATTATATTGTAATGGGGGATATTGATCGAGGACATTTATAAGGTAGTAATAATCTTAGTAAGACATATTAGTTGGATTGAATGTTTGAGTTATTTAGAGCATGAGTAGTACTTAAATGTATAACATTATCTTTGGGGTTTAATTGATTGAAGACTGATGTTTTCTGTTATGGGGTAAGTACATTGGGACCTCAGATGTTTTTTTTCTTTTTTCGGGCGCTTAGGGATATTGGTGTTAGTCCGATGGTTTGACCAGCCTGAATGTGGACATTGTTTTGATTTTATTTTCTGAGGTTTCCATATGTATTTGCTTAAGTCATATCTCTATACAATTAGTCAAAATTCCTCCTTTTAAAGTAGTCTGGAGTACTTTATGTGGTCGCCTAAGGCAGAGGGCCCGTGAGAGAATTTTTCCTGTCTAGATTGTTTGAAGGATATTTCAGGAATGATAGCTGTCTGACAGGTTTTTTCGCTCTCACACTCCAGAAAGTAGGTGCATTGCTAAGGAAGCATGTATAGGAGGACCTGTTATTTTGTTACAACTGCAGACATGCATGTGATACCTTTTTGTTTTTCAAGACTTTGTGGAAGCCTCGAAGGGGGTAATATGAGGTGTATTTAGAAGAATAGTTTTATAGAAGAAGGTAAAAACACTCTTAAATTTCTGTAAGTATAAGGTAAGGTCTGAAGTCCTCTGTGTTATCTGTCCTGCAGGATTTGAAATGTTTACGTTAAAGGGGCCCAAAAGGGCCAAAGGTCTCTCTCTTAGTTCCACATAGATGAGATCAATGTAAAAGGGCCATATGTTCAGTTTGCTTTTTCAACAACAAGCCCACTATATAAACAGTTGGATATTCTGTTCTGGAGGGGACACTTGAGAATTGGCACGGATCCTCTCTCAGGCACTTTATAGTGCTTGATGTGATACTGTTTTACTTTGTAATAAACATCTTGTGCAAAGGAATACGGTGTCAGCGGAGACTTCTTCAGCATCTTCACATCAACGCTACTTAAGAAACAACAGAGGAAACGGTCACGAAAATTGGACCCTCCTAAGACTAATCTCTCTGATGGTAGGTGATATGGTGCCGGAAGGTGAAAAGGCTTGGGAATTGATTATGGACTCTGTGGAGCTCAAAATTGTCACACGAATCTGTCTGTTATCTAGAGAGCAAGATTTCAGATCATCATCAGTTGTGCACTGAGGTCTTTCCCAATTAGAAACTGTGACCAAAACATAATTTCCTTGATCATTATCTGCACTTGATCCGTTGTTTTGGTCCAAGTAGTTGATCTGTGGACAATGCAATTTGAGGTGAAGCTTCTTCAAGAAGGTTGTGCATGATGTTCATAATTTCAAAAATCTTCTCGAAACATTGGCAAGTAAACATCAGTTAATGATAGCTTATGCTCTGGACTCACAAAGCTTCTTTAAAGCACCATTACACCTTGAAAAAGTGAAAGTGGTTAAAATATCCTCTCTCGAATCATGGTGGAGGACAGTAGCTGAAAACAAGTATGCAAACCAGAGTACTGTGTCACTGGCCACAAATGCAACTTTGCAAGGAACCTTATACAGTAGAGGAATGATTCTGTCTGTTGGAAACTATGGTGGGTTACCAGAATTTTGTCAAATTCACAGCATTCTGATTGTTGGCACAGAAATCACATTCATAGTGGAAAAGCTTTCCTCGTGATATGTTGTCTCATTGCGGGCATATGAGATTGTGGGAAATACCTATAGAAATGAAGCTATTGTGAACCCACAAGATTTTGATTTTTTCTTCTGGCTGATTACAGAGCTGGTAATAAAAGCTTATGGTGTCAGCTAAGAAATTTCTGCTTTGCTGAAACTCTTTCTTTTTCTAGGTTACAATGTTGCTTTGAGTCATTCTCTCACATGATAACATCAGAAAGCTGTCTGTTTCAACCCCATCCTCAGTGGAACTTCTCTGTGATTCCATTTCACCATTCTCTGTGAAAAACTGCAAATCGAAAAGGGTTTTACAATGCAGTATCAAGATACAGACTTGAACTTTGTAATTTGCATGACATCTCAGAGTTGCCACCAGACAAAGCTACTTTAAAACTTCATTGGGAATTAGTTTTTACCACAATTACAGCAAATTCTGACTTGTTAGGCTTCACCCTGGACACTGCAAACACATCTTCATCCACCCAGTCATCCTCCTCAACAGCCTCATCAGATTCAGTGCAGGCTGTCAGTATGTCTCTAGGTCAGATCAATGGCCAAGTCAGTTTCTGGTGCTTTCATTTTACTATGACATGGAGCTAAGGCTTCAGAAAGCGAATGAGGGTTTCAAAAACAATGGCACGACCCTGAATATCACACGAGATATCAAAATGCATGTCTTGGATAAGCTGGCAGAAGCAGTATACTTGTACAAAGCGTACCCCAAGGACTCTGAATTGGAGAAGGTAGCCTGTGCATTAGTGGAGAAACATCCTTGTCTTAAAGCTCCAGGATGTGACACTGGATGGGAAGAGTGGAAATTCAGTCAGTTTAAGTTTAAGTTTAAAATGGCAAATTACCGTCAGAAACTTGGCTATGCTGGGTGTACTGAGATTACAGTAAATCATTTGAGACAAGGTTCATCCAGAAGGTCTGAACTGAACTTCCTTCCTGACCATCCTGCTGGATTAAATGAAGAAGCTCTTGAAAAAGAAAGGGCTTCAATGGAGGAAGAGGCAAAGAAGAGAGACATGAGCTTGAGTATCTTGAATTCGAAGATGGATGTGACTTTCTCCTTGAGAAAAAAGGAGATTGTGCAAGACCAATCACTGGTGTCAACAGTTAAATGAAGATGGCCAGGACTCTTCACCAATGAACAGGTAAACATTTAAGTTTCAGGTGCCACTGTAGTTTTAAGTCTTGAATACAGTAATTTACTTAACCCATATAACTCTTTCTCTCTCTCTCATACTCATGCATTCATAGGTGCATGCAGAATTGGCACCTATTAACCACGAATTAACCACATTGACCTGAAGTCAACACTTCTGACATCACTTCTGATTGTCATACCAGAGGTTTCGTGAAGATGTCCAGAGCCAAAACAAATCAAGGAGGTGGTAAAATGGAGCTCCTGGACTATAGAGTATTTTTTTTTTTTATCTTACTTTTTTTTTCTTGATTACTTATTTTCATGTTGTCATGCTGTCTGAAAAAAAATTATCTCCATTTTTATTTATTTATATTTTTATACATTAATTGAGCACAGCAGCTCCCCTATACATTGTATGAAAATGTCATGATGATTGTAGAAATGCTACAGAATTTCATGGAATAAAGTCTCTTTAAATTTATTTACATTAAAAGTAAAAGAATGCCTATTTGCCTTATCCTGTAAAATTACTATTTTTTTTTTTTTGGAGAGCGAAAGTTTGCAATCTTGACTTCAGCTAACACTAATCACTCATTACCCACCACTCTCTCGCTTTTTTAATTATTTATTTTGGCAGTCTACAGACTTAACAGCACACAGAAGATCTACTGTTCTTCAGGGTCTTCCCTTGTACTTAAGATAGCGTCTTTCACTTTCAAAGACAAAAAATTACTTTCCTTACTGTTATAAAATACTGAATTACTGACTTTACTGTACTGAAACATGCAGCTGCTTTAGCTTTACCCGTAATAAGAGAGAGCAATTTCTTTGTAAATGTTTGTAATAGTATGTGTTGTATTACTCATAAACAATATTAGTTGTAATATTTGTGTTCTGTAGGATACTGAGGCATTGGAAGATCGCACAAAGGACATGAAAATGGAGATTCTTGAAGTGGTGAAGGAAGGCGCTGCCCCATGTAGATCACTGGCCAGTGCGGTAAATTTCACAGTTGTACTTGGTAGTCATGGATAACTTGTAAGACTACACTAATACCTTCACTTTTCTGTTCGGTCTGTTGTTTGGACTTAACATAAAGTACTGTAAGGACCTAAAGTACACATTTGAAGTGGTCCAGAAAGTCTTCCTCCACCTTGGAAATGAGTGCAGTGCAAGTGTGCAATCTCTAAAAACATGTTATTGCACATGTAATTAGTACATGTACATCACAGTGCTTTTGAGAGCAGTTAAGTTGTTTGCAGATGTTGATTGTGATACATTTGTAAAATTGTTACATTTGTAAATTCTTTAAATTGATACTGTAAAGTGGATACAGGAAGTTAGAGACAGAAATGTTGAATGTTGAATTTAAGAACTAAGCACAGTTATTTTTTTTCTACAGTGCAAAAAAGAATCAAGCAAGGTGTTCAAGTCATTTTTTATAAGCAAAGCTGTTTTACATTTGGTCCATGTGGCAATATCTTTAATATCTGTTGCATACAGTATGCTTTAGTGTGCTCTAAAAATGCTGTAATACTCTACAAATATTAAAATGTGTTAATAAAATGCATATGTTTATAATTTGCATTTCCTATGCAGTTTTCATTATATACTGTATCTTCAATTTAATTAGTATAGTGTACAATTCCTATTTCAGTCAACTTTCACATACCAGTTTCATAATTAAGTGAACTAAATAAAAGAAGCCAACACAACATGGGATATATTGTCAGGTCAACTAGATGTATTTGGTGAATTTGATTGACACTATTTTATTTTTTTAGTTCATATAACATTTCAGGATTGTCACCCTAACTTAAAATAAGCATTTCACAAAACTTTGAAAAAATTGGACCAACTTAAATATTTAGGTGTAACAGGTTTAGGTGCAAATAAGAGTTACATTGTGACTGCATAATGAATGATTACCTTTTACAGTACAAAGGGATGCAGAAAACCGTGTACCCTGCCTGGGAGAGGGTTACTGGGACCTACCCCTGGAGCCAGGCCTGGGGGTAGTGTTCCTCAGTGAACGCCTGGTGGCCGGGCAGCCCACATAACCCGGCCGGGCTCAGCTCGAAAAGGCAATGTGGGGGGACCCTGTGGACCCACCACCCACAGGGTCCAGCATGGGGGACCAGTGCCGTGCCGTATAGGCAGTTGGAGATGGCAGGGAGGCCCTTGGCAGCATAGACCACTGCGGCAGAAACTGGCTCTTTGTACGTGGAATGTAACCTCGCTGGGGGGAAGGAGCTGGGGCTTGTGCGGGAGGTTGAGAGGTACCAGCTAGATATAGTTGGGCTCACCTCCACCCACAGTGTTGGCTCTAGAACCAAACTCCTTGATAGGGGTTGGTCCCTCTCCTACTCAGGAGTTGCACAGGGTGAGAGGCGCCGGGTGGGTGTGGGGATACTCACACGCCTGGCTGCCGTGCAGTTGGAGTTTTTCCCGGTGGATGAGAGGGTTGCCTCAATGCGAATTAAAATTTCAGAAAGAAAAATTCTGACTGTTGTGTGTGCTTATGTACCCTGTTCAAAACCTCCATTGTGGAAGCTGCCAGGTGTAGCTGTGGCCAAAAACTTGTTGGTGCCTGTCAGGGCGGTAACCCAAGAACCCCCAGCACACTCTCTCTCTCTCTCTCATTAATATATATATATATATATATATATATATATTATATATATTTTGTGTGTGTGTGTGTGTGTGTGTGTATATATATATATATATATATATTATTTTATATATATTTCTATATAAAATTACATAAAATAATAAAATTAAGTGCTTCTTTACTTTCCACAGGTTTTAAAGAGTTATAGAATAAAGACAGTTCTTTGAGAAACATGGCAAAGCTTGGTGTTTTTTAAATCTACATTTATTAATAAAGAAATTGGTTAAAATTATTGTATATTATTAATTAGAAATTCTTCACTGGGCTAATTAACTAGCAGTTCTGTGCCCCCAACTATCACTCGCTGCAGAACCAGAAGTCCAAAGGGGTGGAGCCGGACCTGATCCAACTCCGCCCACGTCTGTATGTGTCGCTTACGTTTTCCGCCTACGACTTATTTTATTGGTCTACCCTGTCGCATTTTTATCTGTGGGAAACCCGCACGTGTTGCTGGTGTTTTTGTTTTTTTTTCTCTCGATGTTGCTCCGTCCTAAATGCCACAACACAGTCTTTATAATCGCTCATGAGTCACCACGTTCACACTCATTTGTCAAAACTCGAAAAGGTTTTTTCACATTCCGGTACAACGTCCGTTCTGTAGGCCTACATCTCGAGAGTACTTATGATAGACGGGTTCTAGTTGAAAACGCTGAACGTTTTTAAACACTAGAATGTACTTACGACAGGTTAAAATAACCAACATAACTGTGTTTTATCAACTAAATCCTGGAATTTCATAATAAAAAATCTTTATAACGACCTTTTTTTTTACTTTTAAAAGGATTCGGTATTACTGCCACACATTTCTATAAGTCTGATAAAAATGACTCAATATGCCTAAAAATATTAAATATTAAATGTTACAGACCCTGACAGGCCACTTTATTAGCTCATTCTACCTTGTTTCTACACTCATTGTCCATTTTATCAGCTCCACTCTAGTTCAGACCAATTAAAACACGACGTGGGCGGAGTTGGATCAGATCCAGCCGTACCCCCTGGACTTTTGGTTCCGCAGCGAGGACAATCTTGTTCCATCGCTGGGAGTCTGCGCAGTGCAGAGCGGTGGGCGGGGTTCTGGAGAACCAGCCTCTGAGAGCAGTGCATCCGCAGAGAGAAGATAAAGAATCACCAGCCGGAGAAATCCCATCCAGACGAATTACACCAGCTTAATCTCACATTTATTAACCGATGGCTGCGAAGAAATGGAAACTGACGCCTCATGCTGTAACGGAAAGCGCATCTTCCTTCATAGCGCATATCAACCACAACAGTAACAACAACAACAACAACAACAAAGACAGCGAGGCGAGCGAAGAAGCAGCATCAACGGCCACGACAGTTCCTGTGGAGGTGAGCGGGGAAGACAACAGTCCGGCAGACGGCGGTTTCTCTAGGGCTAGTGGGGGAAACGGAAACGGCAAGTGGGTCCGGCTGAACGTGGGTGGTACAGTGTTTCTCACCACACGGCAGACGCTGCTGAAGGAGCAAACCTCGTTTTTGTATCGTCTGTGCCAGCAGCAGGACCTCCAGTCTGACACGGTAAGGTCGACTCGTGACTAGAGAGGTATTTCAATAAGCATGAGTTTAGCCAGATAACTTAAACCTAAAACCTCTCCGATATAAAAAGAGCTGAGGGGCGTTCCTTAGTGGACAATCCTCAATTCAGGGCTTAGGTTATCTGAATAACTCAGAAGTCATGCCCTGTGAAATACTCTAGAGGCTTCATCTGTGCTGTAGATACTTACGTGAAAAAAAACGCCAGTGTACGGTCAGAGGATTATTTCACAAAGCGGTTTGTAGTAACATTGAGAACTTAAGCCCAAAGTGAGTACAGTTCAGTAAGAGTGCCCCTCACCTCTTATTTTACAGGCTTGGCTTTAGGCTTAAATTATCTGACAAACTTAGACATCTGGCTTTGTGATATAACCCCAAGCCGCCACAGAGTGAGTGAGAAATGCGAGAGTCAGATGGACGCGCACGTGCTTTGCAGCGTCAAGCTGAGCTTTTAATACAGAATGGCTCTTTCAATGCGGCGTGCGAGGTCAGGTATAGCAAGCCTACTGCCCTCATTTCATATGGGAGGCAAATTCGGCCAAAAAAGAAATTACAATTAAAACAATAAAATGTAAATGCAAACATCTTTTTTTGCCATTTCTTTTTCCAAATGTCTGCACAAACATTCTGCCAAAATTGAAAATGATATGAAATACCTACATTTGCAATTTAAATTTTCACATAAGCACAAGTATGTGGCATTTTATTTTTTAAGTAATTATTATGGTATTTCGTGACCATATCTAAAATGGAAAAGCTAATAGAGAAAAGAAAATGCAAGATTCGCCTTTGGCTTTGCATTTTCTTCATGAAATGCATGTGTCAAAACTAAAGTCAAAGTGCAGTGTTTACGTTTTTATTTATTTTTCATAGTAGGCTGCATATCTGAGAAAATGAAATGCAAAATGGATACATCAACAGCAAAGTGACCAGTTGCGATTCAGTTTTCAGCGTGGGTGAGATGTCCGAATAAGAAGGCAAACGGAAACGAACATCTGCTGGTGATTTACTTTTTATTTCCCCATTTGCTTTGTCGCTTTTAAGTTAACCAACATGCAAATATATGTTAATTAACACTAGGCGGGGTTACTGTGAATATCAGACCAAATGCCGTCAGAACAAACGGTCTCAGAAAATAGTATCAGACCAAATGCAAGTTTAGTCAAGCATATACTAGTTCATATAGCTTAGAAAGCTATTGGGTAGTCTCGATATAAATGGCAGTATAACATTTGCAAAGTGTTTTGAGGGTAAATGAAATCAGATATGTTTCGCCTCTCTCCACAGTGCCACAAACCACTACAAAAAACGAGAGGCTGCGTTGTCAGCTGTTGTTAACTGAGTGGTTGTCCTACTTCTAATGATTGAGGCAATTTTGTGTGGCAGTGTTTGATTTGATAGCTGCCTTTTTTCTGATGCCGTTTGATCTGATGTTCAGTTCACCAAATCTGAGACATGACGATGGTTTTCCCAAGGCTGAGGTCTGAAGATGTCCTAAAATATATACCATAGCCCCGCCTAGTGTTAATTAACGTATATCTACATGTTGGTTACCTTGAAAACGAAAAAGCAAAGTGCGAAATGATAAGTAAATCATCAGCAGATGGCGCCTTCGTTTCCATTTGCCTTTTTATTCTGACACTTAAAGCATGTCCACCCCGAAAACTGAATTGCAAACTATCACTCTGCTGTCGATTTATCCATTTTGCATTTTCATTTTGTCAGATATGCAGCCTATTGCTATGAAAAAGAAAGAGCAATGTACATGCTGCATTTTGATTTTAGTTTTGACACGTACTATGCATTTCAAGATGAAAAGTAAATCTTGGAATTTCTTTCCTCTATTAGCTTTTCCATAGATACGGCCATGAAATACCAGAATAATGACTAAAATGAAATGACAAATAGCTGTTTTAAATGTATTTTTATTTTTTGTCACAAATGACTCATGCTTATGTAAAAAAAATAAATTGCAAATGTAGGTATTTTATTTCATTTTCAGTTTTGGCCGGATATTTACGTGAATGTTTGGAATAAGAAATGGCAAAAAGAGGTTTGCATTTACATTTTATTATTTCAATTATAATTTTTTTTGGCCAGTTTTCCCTCCCATAATTTCATACCTCAGTCTCTTCTGCCACCTGAACTATATTCACTATACATATCCTATGTTGTTCAGAAGGGTATCTGAGCTGTTTTTTCTTCCATAATACTGTGTGCAAACTATTTGTCCAAAAGTATCCACACCTCTTAATTAGTGAATTCAGCTACTTAAAGGTGCAAACGTTGCTGATACAGACCTGTAGTTTCGCACACACAGCTTGTATAATCTCCATAGAAAAAGCAATGCCAATAGAATATAGAGTTCCCCAGCATTGGTCTTTGGAGCAGTGGAACTGCATTCTCTGGAGTGACAAAACACCGTCCAATACTTTAAGTTGAATTGTGTTTGTGATCTGGAATTATTTATCCAACATCAGTACCTGACTTCACTAATGCTTTTGTAGCTGAGTGCAATCAATTCAGCAATGTTTCAACATCTGTTGTAAAGCCATCACAGGAGAGTACAGGCTGTTACTGCAGCAACTCCCCAATATTACTCTTGATTTCAGAAGATGAGCAGGTGTCTACAAGGTGTCTACAAACCTTCTGGGCTGTATTCTCACACTGGGAATCTTTCACTGAAAAGCCTTTTCAGGTCTGCATCTAGGGTCAATTTATGCCCTTTGTCATTTCCTACTTTCCTCTCTCCTTCTCCTCCTCCTCCATCATTTCTCAAACCATTTTCTGGGTGCTTTTTCCACATACATTCTACATTATCATTTGCACTTTAGTTTATCTCTGTCTCATAATCGCTTTGCTTTGGAAGCTATCCCTAATAGCCACTCTGGAGACCGTCACTAAGTATGTTTTTGCCCGCTTATTGACATGCAGCCAGCTCCATTAAGTGTCTCTAATTTGACTGGAGCCCTATGTTCACAAATAAAAGACATTTTAATCTGTTGAATGCGGCTAATTGATTTAGTTGTTTATCCTAAAGCTGGTGTGCAGTGGTGAGGGACAGTGCTTCATCTGGTCCTGCAGTGTTATGTACACACTCACTGGCCATGCATTACTCTTGAAGTAAGTTTGCAATGTTTGACAATGAAAGGACAGTAAAAGGGACATGGCTGCTCATATTGATATAAACAAGTAATTTGTTTGCCTAGCAGGTAGTTCCTCTGGGAGGTAGGTGGTTTGCTTCTCTTATTTCCATGCGCAAATGAACATAGGTCAAGCGCTGACTCATAGGGCACTCGTTTTCTTTGGAATAACCTTGGATTGAGGAAACGTTATATTAATATAAGGACACTTACTGTGCTGAATCCCCTTGTCATAAAAATGTGGGGCGTTTGTGTATTATGGTTTGAGGACAGATCATCCTCTGAGTGACTAATGCAATGAGGGAGTCCTGCACAGGTATTGCCATGCCTGCTGTCAAGTAGGGTTGAGTATTGTTTGAATTTTATCAATTCCAATGCTGATTCCGATTCTGCTGATCGATACCGGTTCTTATCGATTCCAAGTTTCAATTCCAGTACAGTGAAAAAAGATGCCAAATATTTTGATATAAATATTTTTATCTTTCAACTGCGTGGTTCATGAATTGTAGCCTTTTTTTGCGCAGTGACAGCCACTATTTTATCCACTATGCCAAATTCTTGCAAAATATCATTAATTTCTTCAGCTACCACCGGTCCTGTTTGAGCTTTGTAGGCTGCTTTTGTTTTTATTACTGTCTGACTCATTTTCCCTTCACTGACATTGTGTGAGGCCACTGTCAGGAAATGATTTTAAGAAATGTTTGTCCAGTTGTTGCTGGTCAGGGTAATTTTGCTAACAGTACTGAGCTCTGATGTTTTGTTTGACTTTTCTGCCTTGTACCAAGCAGGGATCAGCTGGTAAGTCGAAATATCTCTGGAAGATGGAGTGCACTTTGGGTTTAGCACCTTGGTCATCTCCCCTGCAAAAATGCAACTCTCTGTAGATACAACATAGCATTACTGTACAAGTAAACAAATATCGGCAAACTTTGCTTACCTAAATGATGGTGATTTGACAATGAGATAGGATGTAGCCCTTTTACTATAAATACTGTCACCGCTCTGTGATACTTCTTTGTTTTCTACTGGTTATCTTTCCTCTCATTGCTAATGAGAAAGGCTGACTCTACTGGATGTGCAAGTGAGGTGCTAGCGCGGTCTGTGCAGCTGACTAATGCAGCACTTGGGCTTGGAGACCACATTCGGTCAAACACTTTACACTGCTGAAGCTCAGCGGCATGCTGGTGCCTTAGTTGTTTGGCTGTGTCGGAGGTGCTGCCTCCTTTACAACAGAACAGCCTTTTACATGAATTACACTTCGCCTTTTTATTTTCTTTCACAAAGTGGAGCCACACTTCCCATGATCCGTCCTCCTGATGCTATAGTGGGGGCCTATCAAAAAAAAAAATCTACGCATTGACATGTTACACAACATGCATGGGTCCTGGCACACAGCTGTGACTTAACAGAAATATTTTTACAGTAATTGTGGCTGTGTATTTGAAGCATGTGTGAATGAAAAATGTGTTTGTTGGACTGAATAAGTGATATCAAAACCCAGTTCCGGTTCAGAACTGGTTCCAAAATTTCAAGAATCAAGTACCCGTTTAAAAAAAACATTCCGGATATTGGCTTCTAGTAACATCCAGAGTGGAGGTGTCTGCTGGTGAAGGGGTTTCCAGACATTGTGGTCTCCTAGTGGGTGCATATACTGTATTTGTATATGTTATAAGATTCGGCAATACTGTTTTAGTGTAAATGTCAGGTTTGTGCTCATCCATTGTGTGTGTGTGTGTGTGTGTGTGTGTGTGTGTGTGTGTGTGTGTGTCTTTCTTCTAAGGTTGCAAGAAAATACTGGTCATGGGAAGACCAGTGGTTTTGTAACTGTTATTCTCCCAGATA